TTTACAGAAGACACCAAGATTTCCACCTGAATCTGATCCACAATGAAAGCTGGATTTCTGCTCATGTAGCTGATCCACTTTTACAGATGCAGGACAAAGAACATGGAGGCCTTCAATGTACTGATGCGGTTTCATCTGCTCCAAAATCATTTTTAGTTTTCTTTTAAAAGTTAATTTATGAAAAAGGAAGAAAAGTTCCCAAAACAGAAAATGATCAAATTAGCTTTTTTATTCATTTCTATTTGATCTTTTGACTGATTGCTTTGAGTTTTCTGCTCGGATGCATTTAAATAACCGGACAGAAGGCAAAGTAGAAAAGAAGTAAAACATTTGAAAGCTTCTGACCTCTTCAGGTTTGTGCTTTTTTTAAATGTGTGCTGATTAAAACCATTCTGCTGAGATTCTGCTGATCCGAGCGGCCGGAGCGTGTAACACCGAGCTGGGCGCCACCAACTAACAAGAGCACTTTTAATACATCCATCAAGGCGAGTATATGCATTTATAAAAAATAAAACGGTAGTCAGGTATTATGCATGGCACACATTCCAAAATAACAATAAAGGGACAGCACTTACACAACAATACTGGGAATATAGATATCTGCAGAATCAATGCATAAAAATCAAATATTTACAGGAGTACAAATGTATCAATAGACTTCAGAGAGTTTTAAATAATAGGTTTAAACTTAAATTTAGGAAACAAACATAAGGTGCAAAAAAAAGGCACAAAACTACCAAATACCCACAGGAAAAAAAATCAAAAAGAGACTTCAGTTCAGGCAAAAATAATCTCTTACAGCGCAGGAGTCTGGAAAACCTTTATAAAATAAGCTTTAGAGTACCGTTCCAAAGAAAATTAAAATAAAGATTCAAACACATTTTTAAGCTTCTGCTTTAGTCCATCATAATATAAAAGAAAAAATACTTTTCCACATGTATGCATGATTTCAGCTTAAAACAAGCATCGCAGAAAGGTTGGATATTTCTATACAGGTCAGCATTAATGTCCTTCCTCTAAATGACCCATGCATTTACCAACAGCAGGAAGGAACCGATTGTAAAGACGCAGCATTAAGGTCGCGGGTCCGGGAGGTTCTGTTGTTCAGCGGCTGCAGGTCCAGCAGCTCGGCTCTGCCAAACGGCTGCAGAGCAAAAACAAACAGAAACATGAGAGATCAGGAAAACACCACCGCTGGAAACCAAGGAGAAATGATTTAGGTTATTCTGCCATCCTCACATTTAGCTTTTACACATTTATTTTTCATGACAGAAGGAAGTGAGTAAGGAAGGAAGGAAGGATGCACCATATTGGGATTTTGGCCGATATCCGATATGCCGATATTTTAAAACTCATGTAGCCGATAACCGATATCGATACCGATGTTAAAGCTGGACAAAAA